TGAATATTTTAAATAGAGAGGTGGGGTAAAAATATTTTAAATCAATCAAATAAATACTTGGCTAGATGGACCTTTGGTCTGACCCAGCATGGCCCTTCTTATGGTCTAAACCCTTCCCTATGGTTTTCTTCTCCATTTCCTTGGGGTGCAAGCTCTAGCTAGTTTCTGCAACCTTGACTTAAAAGCAATTCCAAACCTCCTCCACATTCATATCCTTGAATGTTTCAGTCCAGTCCGCTTTCCTACCTAGTTCCCTTAATGTTAGGCCTTTTGAAATGAAGGACCCTAAATAGTTGATGTGGAATCATAACTTTGAATAAGGTAAATATTTCAAGTGTAAGAATGTGATCACATAGTAACTTGTTACTAAAGTAGTTAATTTTGTCCCATCCAAACTGACTGCATAGATCTGAAACCTCTCTGAGTTGTATAAAAACAGGATATGACTGTGGAAGCCATTTTGCAGTATATAATAGGACATAGGTCAATACTGAAATGCTTTTTTATATTAGCTCTATTGGCACATTTTCATTGTCTGCTGCACTTTGGAAGGAAAATCTGTTCTCATAGATCCCTTGAAGGTATTGTATTCTTTTCAGGTTAGTGGTGATGCATGATCAACTCTAAATGTGTGCGTGGTTCAACTTGATAGTATTCCTTGCAGATATGATTAAACAATGTGCCTTCTTAATGGATTTTAACTGAGTAGTTGTGAACAGATTGTTTATTGCATTCCTTGCATGAAGACATTTATAAAAGTCTTATTTGCACATGGCAAATAAAACAGCGAGGCAATACTCTCCCGCGGGACATTGCTAAGAATGTTTTAGCAAAGAAACAAATAGAATATGGAATTCAAAAACAGAGTTACATTAGCAAACAGAATTGTTAGGAATTAACATGGTGGTTTTATATGATGATCTTGGTATTTGAAAAAATAGTTGAAGGGTTGCTATACAACTATTTTATTAAAGAAAAAACATCGGTTCACACCTCTCAGCAGTACTGAAGTAAGGGTAGCAGTGCTACAAACCCACAGATGACGCTCACTATTGATAGATACAAAGTAACACAGAACAGAAGTGGGGTGTGTGTGAAAATCAGCTGCTCATATGCTTACAGGTTTCTAAAGTAACTCAGGAAATGTACCTGAGTCTTAGGACAACTTGATGAAAACTTCTGCTTAATGCTCAGATGTAGTTATTAAATTATTCAATGCCTTTCTGGTCACCACATCTCAAAAAGGATACTGCAGAAACAAAAGGGGCTCAGAGACCAGCACCAATGAATTAAGGGCTTGGGAAAACTCACAAAGGAGACTGACTGGGATTGTTTGCCATAGAAAGAAGACATCATACAAGTATATAAAATAACAAATGATGGAGAAGGGGGACCGGAAGCTCTGTTCTCCCTGTTTCACCACACAAACAAGGGAACAATCAGTGACACAGAAAGTAAATTCAGTACTGATGAGAATATTTTTTCACTCAGTGTGTAATTGGACTGTAGCACTAAGTCACAGAACATGATAGAGCTCAAGAACTTGGTAAGATTCAAAAGGATGGATAACAGTAACACTCAGCATTATAACAATAAATGAAATCAAGTTTTGGAAAGAACAAAATGCCTTAATCTTCAAGATTTAATACAAATCTCTAACTATTAGAATGAGACATTCATTGGGGTAGATTATCCCACTTCTGCCAACTATGAGGTTCTTGTATCAGCTCTGAAGCATCTGATATTTGCCACTGTCAGAGACAGGAGACTGGACAAGATGGACCATTTCATCCATTATGATAATTCCTATATTCCAACCTAAGGTATTCATAGTCATGTGGTAAGAAGTTAACCTTTTTATTAAAAAGCTCACTGTTCAAAATAGAAACAACCCTAAGAAAGTTCAAGATGAATCTAGTAGTTAAGCACTGTTAATTAGACATTTCTAATTACACACATAGAAGAAGGTTCAAATAAAGCAAAACACTAATAGAGACATTTTGCAAGGGGCCAGATTTGCCATAATATTACTTACCAGAGGGCAAGCCTTTATTAATTAAAAAAAATAAGCACAGTGACTTCAGAATGAGAAACCCAACTGCATTTTATTTATTTCATTTGCAAAATACGGAATCTTAAATCTCCCCATAGAAGTAAAAGAGGTTTCCTGGTAAGTTACATTTTACAACTTTAAGCAATAGTATATAGAAGTGCAAACAGGAGTGTGCTTCTATCTAATAAACTGACATTTCAGCTTCTAAAAAGGTGCCTGCCTGCTCTCTGAGTCTGGGGCTCCCTATTTTTCAGTAAATTAATATTTTCCGGGAAGAAATTTGTTCTCCGCATTTAATATTGGTATGAGAAGCGTGTGCACACCGACCACCATTTCTATAACAGCCTTAGCTCACACCAAATTGTTTGATACAAGGAAGTGAGTGATGAGTAAACAAACACCAACCATCAGCAGAAAAAAAATCCCAGTTCCCTTGGAAAAATGTTTCTGATATCAAGATGTTGAACCAACTCTCTGGTGGAATGCAATTATATTAAGGGCAAGCCCAAATTTATATAGCTATTCTTAATTATCGTGGCTCCACCTATGAGTCCCTAGAAGTTTGTCAGTCTTCATTTTGAGGCTTGTTTATGTGGTACAAGGTAGTTGGATATGGGACACAGAAGAAGACGGTTTAAGGGAGTTAGCTGGTATTTCTACTGGCCCCAATACATAACTTTAATAGTGCAAAAACAAAGTCAGTAGTTTACAATTTTAAAATATTCCTATTTCTGTTAAATTCTCATTCATTGAACCTGTGGTTCCAGATAAAAAATATTTTAAATCAATCAAATAAATACTTGGCTAGATGGACCTTTGGTCTGACCCAGCATGGCCCTTCTTATGGTCTAAACCCTTCCCTATGGTTTTCTTCTCCATTTCCTTGGGGTGCAAGCTCTAGCTAGTTTCTGCAACCTTGACTTAAAAGCAATTCCAAACCTCCTCCACATTCATATCCTTGAATGTTTCAGTCCAGTCCGCTTTCCTACCTAGTTCCCTTAATGTTAGGCCTTTTGAAATGAAGGACCCTAAATAGTTGATGTGGAATCATAACTTTGAATAAGGTAAATATTTCAAGTGTAAGAATGTGATCACATAGTAACTTGTTACTAAAGTAGTTAATTTTGTCCCATCCAAACTGACTGCATAGATCTGAAACCTCTCTGAGTTGTATAAAAACAGGATATGACTGTGGAAGCCATTTTGCAGTATATAATAGGACATAGGTCAATACTGAAATGCTTTTTTATATTAGCTCTATTGGCACATTTTCATTGTCTGCTGCACTTTGGAAGGAAAATCTGTTCTCATAGATCCCTTGAAGGTATTGTATTCTTTTCAGGTTAGTGGTGATGCATGATCAACTCTAAATGTGTGCGTGGTTCAACTTGATAGTATTCCTTGCAGATATGATTAAACAATGTGCCTTCTTAATGGATTTTAACAGAGTAGTTGTGAACAGATTGTTTATTGCATTCCTTGCATGAAGACATTTATAAAAGTCTTATTTGCACATGGCAAATAAAACAGCGAGGCAATACTCTCCCGCGGGACATTGCTAAGAATGTTTTAGCAAAGAAACAAATAGAATATGGAATTCAAAAACAGAGTTACATTAGCAAACAGAATTGTTAGGAATTAACATGGTGGTTTTATATGATGATCTTGGTATTTGAAAAAATAGTTGAAGGGTTGCTATACAACTATTTTATTAAAGAAAAAACATCGGTTCACACCTCTCAGCAGTACTGAAGTAAGGGTAGCAGTGCTACAAACCCTACCCCTAGACTTACAACATTTTAAGTAGCTGAAATAATTACAATTATGATTTTTAAAATCCTCTGACCATGACATTGATCAAAACAGATTGTGACTTTGGTAGGGACCTAATAATAACAACAGATGACGCTCACTATTGATAGATACAAAGTAACACAGAACAGAAGTGGGGTGTGTGTGAAAATCAGCTGCTCATATGCTTACAGGTTTCTAAAGTAACTCAGGAAATGTACCTGAGTCTTAGGACAACTTGATGAAAACTTCTGCTTAATGCTCAGATGTAGTTATTAAATTATTCAATGCCTTTCTGGTCACCACATCTCAAAAAGGATACTGCAGAAACAAAAGGGGCTCAGAGACCAGCACCAATGAATTAAGGGCTTGGGAAAACTCACAAAGGAGACTGACTGGGATTGTTTGCCATAGAAAGAAGACATCATACAAGTATATAAAATAACAAATGATGGAGAAGGGGGACCGGAAGCTCTGTTCTCCCTGTTTCACCACACAAACAAGGGAACAATCAGTGACACAAAGTAAATTCAGTACTGATGAGAATATTTTTTCACTCAGTGTGTAATTGGACTGTAGCACTAAGTCACAGAACATGATAGAGCTCAAGAACTTGGTAAGATTCAAAAGGATGGATAACAGTAACACTCAGCATTATAACAATAAATGAAATCAAGTTTTGGAAAGAACAAAATGCCTTAATCTTCAAGATTTAATACAAATCTCTAACTATTAGAATGAGACATTCATTGGGGTAGATTATCCCACTTCTGCCAACTATGAGGTTCTTGTATCAGCTCTGAAGCATCTGATATTTGCCACTGTCAGAGACAGGAGACTGGACAAGATGGACCATTTCATCCATTATGATAATTCCTATATTCCAACCTAAGGTATTCATAGTCATGTGGTAAGAAGTTAACCTTTTTATTAAAAAGCTCACTGTTCAAAATAGAAACAACCCGAAGAAAGTTCAAGATGAATCTAGTAGTTAAGCACTGTTAATTAGACATTTCTAATTACACACATAGAAGAAGGTTCAAATAAAGCAAAACACTAATAGAGACATTTTGCAAGGGGCCAGATTTGCCATAATATTACTTACCAGAGGGCAAGCCTTTATTAATTAAAAAAAATAAGCACAGTGACTTCAGAATGAGAAACCCAACTGCATTTTATTTATTTCATTTGCAAAATACGGAATCTTAAATCTCCCCATAGAAGTAAAAGAGGTTTCCTGGTAAGTTACATTTTACAACTTTAAGCAATAGTATATAGAAGTGCAAACAGGAGTGTGCTTCTATCTAATAAACTGACATTTCAGCTTCTAAAAAGGTGCCTGCCTGCTCTCTGAGTCTGGGGCTCCCTATTTTTCAGTAAATTAATATTTTCCGGGAAGAAATTTGTTCTCCGCATTTAATATTGGTATGAGAAGCGTGTGCACACCGACCACCATTTCTATAACAGCCTTAGCTCACACCAAATTGTTTGATACAAGGAAGTGAGTGATGAGTAAACAAACACCAACCATCAGCAGAAAAAAAATCCCCGTTCCCTTGGAAAAATGTTTCTGATATCAAGATGTTGAACCAACTCTCTGGTGGAATGCAATTATATTAAGGGCAAGCCCAAATTTATATAGCTATTCTAGAAGTTTGTCAGTCTTCATTTTGAGGCTTGTTTATGTGGTACAAGGTAGTTAGATATGGGACACAGAAGAAGACGGTTTAAGGGAGTTAGCTGGTATTTCTACTGGCCCCAATACATAACTTTAATAGTGCAAAAACAAAGTCAGTAGTTTACAATTTTAAAATATTCCTATTTCTGTTAAATTCTCATTCATTGAACCTGTGGTTCCAGATAACTTTTCACAAAAAAGCAGAGTGAAATATTTATACAAAGCCAAATAAATTACAATAATTTTCCATTCTTGTTAAATTGGAATATGAAACTGACATGCTAGTCTTTTATATAACCTTAAAAAGGAAAAGGAATTAAAAAGTCATTATTTTCTTTTGTGGGATAGAACCCTGGTTGCATTTAATATGCAGTATACATATGGTAATTCCATTTGGAGTTTAATCTGCACAGAAGTCAATATGAGCTAGCAACTCTCTATGCTGGCTTGTTGGATACTGTACTTTACATTTGGGACACTCAAGGAAGCTTTCATCAAGTAGATTTGAACGTTTCAGCGAAGGATTTTTGTCATTTAATGTCAACATATCTTCGAATGCTGCTTGCAAACCATTTGATGGTTCTACACATCCAAATTCTTGGAGTTTCTGAAAAAAAGTTTTCATTTGAAACTGTTATTTTTACTTAAATTTGGCAGCCTAAAACATACTATACAATACAGGGTACATCTGACAGCACAGTGGTATCCAATGAATAGGTGATGTCTTACAGAAATAGTAATGCAAATTGGCTATACAACCTCAAATATTGCTAATAGGCTCTGGATGCCATTGTAGTTCCTAACTGGGATTTATCATGTATTTTAGTAATCGTGTAGCTGCAACAATTTTTAGCAGTTACACAGTTACTAAAGTACTCCCCGGGGGTGGGCCTAGCAGCCTGTGCACTCCCGGTCCCACTCCTGGGGAGCCCCCTACTACTCTGTACTGCTGCTTCTGTTACAGAGGCAGCAGTGTGGGGTAGTAGACAGAGCCAGTCTGCGAGGGGAGCTGGTTTAAAAATCGGTTCCCTGCCTAGATTGGTTCCCACTTGCCACCCCCTGCTGTGACATCTGATACAGCAGCCTATGTCTGTGAGGGGCCCAAGCTTTCTGCAGACAGAGGCTGCTCTAGCATCCCATGAAGCAACCTCTGTCCATGGCAATCCTGGGCTTGGCATGGACAGAGACTGCTCTGCGGGAGCAGCCCCTATCTGCGGGGGATACACCCACTCCTGCCTTGCCCACCCCTGGTGCCTCTGTGGGAGGAAGCAAGGGAGAGAGGGGAAGAGGTAGCTCTGTGGAGCCAGCTCTGTGCACATAACGGATCCCATTTGCACCCCCCACACCGTGCTGATAGAGAGGTAGCAGCATGGGGAGGGGGGAAAGGCTGCTCCATTGGAGCTGATACTCCTGGGGAGCTGGCTTGAAAGCTGGCTTCCTGTATGTACCGGCTCCTGTCTGCCTCCCAGCAATGCTGCTTCTGTGGGAGACAGCAGGGGAGCAGGAGGCTCTGTGGGAAGCCAGCTTAAAAGCTCCCCACGGGCACCAGCCTCCTGCCTCCCCAGACTTGCTGCCTCCATATCAGAGGCACCATGGGGGATGGTTGTGTGTAGTCATTTGGATTAATTGATAAGCTTAGGCTTATCGGTTAATGATTTAAATGGCTGTATGCCAACATCCCTAGTTCCTAACAATGCTTTTAACTCTTTTTGAACCTGACTAGATTTCACATTTAAGTACCTTTAAATTATAGTGTATATCATTTTTAGCTTCCCTGGCAGCAGCTCCACTCCCCACAATGTGCATCAAAATTGGCAACGGGGTTTTGTTCAGGTCTGTGTACAGCCCCCAGCTACAATCTCTCCAACACATCATCAAGCATCTACACTACAACATATCTTAGATGATGATTCCTTGTTCTCACAGACCTTGGGAGGCAGACCAATCCTTGTGTACAGATAGTGCCCCAACCTAAAACAAATGCTCACCACCAACTACACACCACACAACAGAAACACTAACCCGGGAACCAATCCCTGCAACAAACCCCACTGCCAGCTCTGTCCACACATCTACCGTAGTGACATCACAGGACTTAGTTACCTCAACCATATTATCAGGGCACATTCACTTGCACATCTATTAATGTGATATATGCCATCATGTGCCAGAAATGCCCCTCTGCCATGTACATTAGACAAACCAGACAGTCTCTACACAAAAGACTAAATGGACACAAATGAGACATCAGGAACAGTAACATCAAAAAACCAGTAGGAGACGACTTTAACTTCTCTAGACACACAGTAATAAGGATGTTAAATTGCAGTTATCTGGCTAATCATGTAGTCAATACAATTTGTATTACCTATATGATTAGTCGATAAGGATCACTTTGTGGAGCCGCAGTGGGGATATCCCAGGAGGAACAGTGGAGGGGGCAGGGCAGCACTGCGGAGATGGTGCTGGGGGGAGCTGGCTTTTACGCTGGCTCCCATTTCCCCACTAGCCCATTTCCCCACTAGCCAGCACTAGCTCTTGTTTTCCCCACCCATTGCTGCCTCTCACAGAGGCAGCAGGGAGGTGGGGTGAAGAAAGGAGATGA